GTTGTCGCAACACCGCCCTTCTTGTCGTCAAGATCTGGCTTTGCATCCTTGCTCTTGTCCGCGTCGTTGTTTGCCGGCGCCTTGCCCTTGCCCTTGTCGGCGGTCGTGGGCTTCTTCTCGTCTTCCTTCGCCATGTTGATATGTAGCTAGGACAAGCGGCGAAGTGTGTGTCGGGACGGAGCGGCGTGGATAGCGACTGTGAAGGGGAATCCGGGGGGGGCTATGAGATGTAGATGACCGCTCAAATGGGTCGGGAGAGCGAGAGGCAAGTCAAGTGGGGAGAGTGATAATGGCGGATTGATGTCGATGAGGCAGCTCTTGCTTCGCGTACACCACTTCCGCCGCGCTAGGGCCAAGCACCGTCCACCGATGATGAGCGCCGCCGCCGCCGCCGCTCAGGCCTTCGAGAAACCTCCAAAAATTATTGTCGTCGCACCCAAACCCCGGCGTATTCCTCAGACCGCACCCGCAAGGCTTTCCGAGTCGCACAATCTCTCACCATGAAGCTGAATGTCAAGAATATCCGCTATCTGGCCGCAGACGACTGGCGCGTCCTCACTGCGGTATGCGCCCGCACTGTCTTTCCGTACGTAGTGGGGGACTAACGCTGATGAAGACCATGACAGACAGAGATGGGCAGCCGCAACCATGAAGTCGTACCAACCCCCTTGATTGCCCAGATCGCTGCCCTTCGCTCAGGCACCGGCGTCCACAGGTGCATTTCCAACCTCGCAAAGATTGGCCTCATTGCCAAAGTCCGAAACGCCAAATATGACGGCTACCGGCTCACATACGGCGGGCTCGACTACCTTGCCCTGCACACCCACCAGAAGGCGTCGACGGTCTACTCGGTCGGCAACCAGATTGGCATAGGAAAAGAGTCGGATATCATTGTCTGCGCCGACGAGACGGGCAAGCAGCTGGTTCTCAAGATCCACCGTCTGGGCCGCATATCTTTCCGCACCGTCAAAGCGAACCGTGACTATCTGCGCAACCGCCAGGGTGGGTCGTGGATGTACATGTCGCGCCTCGCTGCTCTGAAGGAATTCGAGTTCATGAAGGCTCTACGAGCAGAAGGATTCCCAGTGCCCGAGCCGGTCGGTCAGAACAGACATACAGTCATCATGAGCCTCATCGACGGTTTCCCTCTGCGTCAAATCTCAAAAGTTGGCGATCCGCAGGAACTCTACGCCGAATTGCTCGCCCTCATCGTTCGTCTGGCGCAGTATGGTCTGATCCACGGTGACTTCAACGAGTTCAACATCATGATTGAAGAGAAACCCGAAAAGGACGACACCGTGTCACTGGTGCCCACGCTTATTGACTTCCCACAAATGGTCTCAATCGATCATGCCAATGCTGAATACTACTTTGACCGCGATGTCGCTTGCGTAAAGCGCTTTTTCGATCGCCGATTCGGCTTCAAAAGCGACGAGCCAGGTCCGTTCTTCAAGGATGCCACCAAGAAGCTTGTCAAGAGGTTGGACGTCGAAGTACAAGCGTCTGGCTTCAGCAAGAAGATGGCAAAAGAGCTGGAACTTTACATGAAGGAGCATGGCATCGATGGTGATGCTGGAGACATTGCCACAGGAGTAGAGGGAGAAGAGGTTGACGGCGACGATGACGATGAAGGCGGCGACGAGGACGAATTTAGTCAAGAGGAAGACGGCGGCGTCTCCCTCCAAGGTGGCCCTGTAGGCGACGACATGTCTGCTGCCGATGACACGACAGCCGACGGACAACCTACTCTTGCCTCACAGATGACCATACTCGAGATTCGAGACAACGACCCACTACCAGACCTCAAGGACATTAAGCCGCCTCCACCATCCGAGCCCACCATGACCACGAAGGCTGCCAAGAAGAAAGCCGGGTGGGCCATCTAGACCTGTCAACTACATCTTGTTTCCTTCCCATTCCTGCGATACCCAGACTCTATGACTACCTTCAGGCCACCCTTTCATGAAAGAACAAAAGTTGATAGAATTTATATTTGTATGACTCGCGTCCAATGGAGGCATATGAATCACGATCACATTTCTATGGCATATGAAACTTTTTTTCTGAGTTGTGCTCATTGCTAAAAATCTGCCCTAAGGGTATACACGGTGGATTACGTTGCCATGCCAATGGATAAGTCACGGTGTATACTTTTAGAGTAAGTTTTTACGTCTATCCAAGCCATCTTCATCCCAACTTCCAACTCTCGCTTTAGTAGATTCTCGATTACTGCACGCGGTATCCATAATTCTAGGGTGTACCAAGCGCCCAACAAAGCGGAAATCTGGCTCTAGGAAACCATCTCGTATAAGCAAAGACCTTATCTCTTCGGACAGGCGATTGCCATTCAGGGCTTCATCGTCGATCTCAACTTCTCCGTCATCAAGCTCTCGTATACACGATTCGCTGATGTACTCCGACAGCGTGTCGCGCTCGGTTTTGAAGCCGGCCCACTTGTGTTGGCGCCGCAGAAAGCGCGATATTGAACTGTCGATGGTGGAGAAGACGATGCTGCTTCGGGGTGCGTGAAGAATGTATTGCATGAGTGGTAATGGTGAGATCTGAACTTGTATTTGTGAAGGTCCGTAAGTGGTTTGAATAGGGCAAGTCGTGGGATAGTTGCAAACGAATGTTGGCAATCCTGTAAAAACCTTGTGAATTCACATTCGTGCAACAAATCTTCGAATTGTACATGAATGGAAAATTCATCCAGTGTTAAAGTTACACTCACCCGCTTGGGTGGCTGATATGAATGCTCTGAATTATGAGAAGAGCTACCTCACAGCGTAAGGTCTCAATCAGCAATAAGCATCATTCACTGCTTCTTCTCAAGGAACTATATCGCAGCACTATCAAACCAGGACTCCACAGTCTTCTTCAGCGACCTCAACAACCATGCCTCCACAAACAACAAAAACAACGGTGACTATAGTCGCCATCCCAACCTACTACCAAACCGAGTCCTATGTCTTCATTTACCCAAAGTACCGGGATGAGCGCCCCACCACGACAGCACGCTACATAGTCCTCACTCCCGCCTCGACAGAAACCCTCACAGCCCGTAACGCAGCCATCGCCAAAGACGTCACAGACTGGGGTTGGCGCGTATTTAATACCGATCCCTCTGCTCCCAACATGAAAAAGTGGTTCAAGAAGTATTACAAAGCAGCGAAGAAAAATACCTGGGATGAAGACATCTGGAGAATCTGGCAGCGGGAACACGGACGGAAGATTGGGCGGGCGGATATGGAACGTAAGGAGAAGGAAGCGAGCGAGAAGGGTAAGAAAGGAAAGTTCGTACATGAGGTAAAGAAGGCGGGAATATATCTTGGAAAATATGGTGTAACGGTCTGTTCTGATGAGCAGCGATTGAGAAAGGAGGAGTCGGGTAAGGAGGAAGAGAGGAGGTGGAGGTTGGCGGACGATCAGATTGTGGGGATGTCTGAGGATCTGCCTGACGATCCTTTTGCGGATCCTCCCACAGAGAGGGGTGGGGCAAAAGAGGAGGGAGATTTCAAGTCGGGCAACCTGAGAGGTGGCGGTGGTATGGATGCGAAGAAGAGTTCGCCTGAGAAGACTGCAGTATATGATGTAGCGCCTTTGACTAGACACCCGTGGTTGCTATTAGGTTGAGTATCGTTCCATTCTCTACATCCTCAAACCAGCATCAAGTTCTTACAGATGTCACTTTTCATCTTCCTCTCCATCCTTCTCCTTCTTTTTCTTTCTGATCTCCTCACTCCTGGCTTTCTTCATCTCCTCCACTCCTTCTGTCAAATCCCTATGCACAACTCTAACCTCCCACCCGTCATCCTCACTCCACAGTATCTTACCCAACTGCTCTGCAAATGCCACACTCCTGTGATGCCCACTCCCACACAAACATCCTACTCGTACTACCGCTTTCTCACCCTCCCTACTAGCTCGTACATCCTTAATCTCCATGAGCCGCCGAATATCGTCCTCAGCGCGGGTCACAATGTCGCTGAATGATTCGCGGCTCATGAGCTCGTCTTGGAGCTTGGAGTCGAGTCCGGTGCATGTTTTCCGCATCTGAGGGGACGGGTTCTGGGTCATACGGCAGTCATATTCCAGATCTGGTTTAGGAGATGGTGGTGTGAAGCGGTCGTAGGATGTGATTTCGAGGATTGGTCGACTTTGAGAAGTTTCCGAGTCTTGATTCGTCTTCTTTGCTGATGCGATTTCATCTCCGGTTGGTGGAACGAGTCGTGTGTTTTTGACGGTTGAGGCGATGTCCGACAGTATGGTCATTTTCCTGATGATAGCCGAGCCGTGAATTGCGGTAGGACTCAATATGCGCTTAGCTATGCTGGGGAGAGTTGTTTAAAGTTGGCTTTCATATAGGGCATTTGAGCCAGTAGATAACTGTATGTCTGAAAACGCGATGGTTCGGACCTTCTTTCTTATTTTCATGACGCTCATTCGGGTAAGAGGTCGCGTGCCCGCTGCAGATTGCTTCAGGGTCTCTGAAAACTTCGGCGCATGAAGATGACGTTAGGCGCTGTGGATCCACGGGCGCATCCGCTGGTACCATGCAAGGTGCGTCATCGCTGATTGCGACTGCAGCAGGTGTCGCGATAGATAATTCAGTGCCACTGTATCAGCTTTGTTTAGATAATACCTCATAGGAAAGCATGCCGAGATGATTTTCGGTTACTCCAATCCAACAAGTTAGCCTGCAAACAAAGAAGCAGATTGTCGTTCCTGATGAAACGAAGGAGCTCGGTTATATTGAGTTGTACCCAAGGCCTGGAGTATACTTTAATGGCCTATACTCCGTCATCTTGTATATAATGGGCACGTAAAAGACAGCGCATACCTTTTGGGCACATTGTGTGATCAGATACAACAGAGAAAAAAACGAGCTCTTTCGTATGCGGCAGAACGCGGAAACGCGCGGGCCTTTCATGAGTGAACACACGTCGTAAGTGGACGTTTGGCTCTATTCGTACGACACATTATGGACGTTGATGATAATTTTAGAAATCAAACGCCCTTCCCGCTCGGCCTTCACCCTGTTTCCTGGGGTCGTTTTCCTTCCTCAACTTGTTGCCTTCGTAATCCCCAGATTCCTTAAGCTTCCCTCCAATGTGTTCTCCAGTATCACGCAATTTGTTTCGCAAAGCGACCCATCTCGAGTCTCGCGGCGCATGGCATTCCTGCATTGTCGTCATCTGGGGCGGGTTGTCACTGAGCGATACATGCGCCTGTCCTTCATCATGAAACTTGATCCAGTTGTGTCCAATGACTTCTTCCTCTGAAGGGCGCTTTATCAGCTGCGGCGTGTTTTGCGCAGAATCAGAGCGAAGAACTCGTCCATCTCCAGCTCTGTCAGAAGCGTTCATGCCGAGCTGTTTGTCAGACAAAGGCGTGATCTCATCGATGCCTGTGCCAGGAAAGTTCATGTCAGGCTGCTCGGAAGACTGGGGAGTATCCGGAGCGTGTTCATAATGGCCTGATTTGGAGCGTGGGAGAGACTCGGGTTCATCAATGACCGTCGATCGACACTGTCCGGTAGTGGAAGACCATGGATTGACGGGTCGCGCATATGACGTTGGTAATGGATTGCCTTCTGAAGGTATTCGGGTCTCTGGCAGCTCGACTGTCACATCATAGGTCAAGTTCGTCGTAATTATTCTTCTTCGTCGTCCCGATGCATCTGTCGGGAAGTTGCGGTAGAATGCCTCGACAGGCAAATGAACGACAATGGGTACTGTAACTGTAAAGTTCTTGGGTGACTTCCATGCTTGCGCAGTCGGATGCGATGGCATGATAGAAGGGATTGCAGTAGTATCGGGGGCAGAAGATGGGTCGTTTGCATCGAGGGATATCAGAAGCGGTGGTGTTGCATCGTCAGTTGCCGTTACTGTATACGGGCCTTCCTCAACTACAACGACTCTTTCACTGGATGGCACCGCAGGAGCATTTGGTTTTCGAATGATAGCATTACAGTTGTTGCAATATATTCCTGACCTCGGCTCGTGGACTGTGTTCGAAAGGCCAGGCATTTTCGGAGTAGTGTGATAGCGAGCTGTAGTAGCTTCGTGGTAAAGAGAGGGTTGGGTATCGATACGAGTGTGTTCAGGCCAAAAAATGTATGAATGATATGGCGAGTTACTTGTGAGCTGTGTTGTTGGTGTACAGAAATAAGAATGAGAGATTTCATCTATTGTTTAACTTAGCAAGCCCAGAGAAAGAGAAGGTAAGAGCTTACCATGGGTGGTATCCAATGGTTGTGCCATAGCAATCACAGCCGACCATCTATGGCTTCGTAGCTGCCTATGCAAAAGACTCAATGATGAAGTGCTCATGGGGTGGTACTAGTATCTGCTAGAACTCACCTTCCCCACGCTTCTTAATATCAGACAATACGCTTTGGTCCAAGTCATGCGCTGCCAAACTTTCGACTGTCTTCTCAATCAATGTGCCAGTGTTTTCACCCGGGCGGTCAGATCCGTGCCTCAACCTAGAAGGCCTCAAGTTGATCACGACGCCTGTCAGCCAAGGATTGCTCATCCTCATTTGCCCGGAGCTCCTTGCAGAATGCATCGTGGAATGGCCGTGATTCGCACTCCCACTTGAGTAGTTTTAGACAGTCGATGTAGATTCTCGGATCGTTGGTGATGTATGGTTGGGGAACGCCACGCACGTAGATGATGTACGACATCGTGTTCTTTGGTTGCAGTGGTATTTTTCCTACTAGGTTTCGGTAGGTATGTAAGTAGGAAATTTGCACTCTTTTGCCTGCTAGTGAGTGATTGCAGGCTAGCGGTGATGGGCTTTTTTTATAGTGAAAGGGTACGAGCAACTAGGTAGTGATCAGGATTGGTAAGAAGGTTGCAATTTACGTGTTAGCTTTCAGTGAGTATGAGTTTCAAGTAATTCTTTGCAATCACAACGGACAGTAAGTGTGTCTTGTCAGCCTATCGCGCATGGCAGACTGTGACCATGACCAAGGAGTGGGTGCGGTTCAACAACGACACTCTTCACAACAATTGCGTGAAGTAGATTGTGGAAGATGATACTCATGCCAGGTCTAAGTGGAGGTTTGGCGACTATTGAGCTCCATGGCCACTGCCGCAAGTAGTTTGGCGCATTGGAGAGTGTAGGACCGGGAGGACAATGACGAGGCTAGCCGTCCGATGATGGTCTTGGCGAATGACTCAATCGCGAACCACCCCTCCAAAATATCCAAAAGTCGACGGAGCACTAACACGTCGCAATCAACCGTCAAGATGAGCACCGAATCGGGAGTCAAGACACAGCCGACCTTTGACATAGTCGCGACATATCGGCGCATCCTTAAAGATGACCCGGAACTTACTATGCCCGTGGCGGCCATCGAGGCGCTCGTAGAAGCCATTGCACAGAGCTCCGTTTCGACCGTCGCCGAAACACTCGACCTTCTCGAACGGCACACAGCTGCCCTGAAGGCCTCAATCGCGAACCCCATCTCTCTTTCCGCCGGCACAGATCTCTTCCAGCGCTATCTGATCACAACGCTTAACCGCCCCGCAAGCCTGAACCTGGGCCCAGACGACGACTTCCGCGCGATACGGAACCACCTGCTCTCCAACGGCAAACTCTTCGTAGACCGTGCGAAACAGAGCAGGGAGAAGATAGCGAGCTTTGGCAAGCACTTTATCCGCGACGGCGGCACAGTGCTCACAAATGGTGGTTCGCGAGTAGTGGGCGCGCTACTGAGAAGGGCAGCCGAGTCAAGCACTCTCCGCTTCAAGGTCATATACGTCCTGCCTTCATCAAGCTCGTCGGACGCGAAAGAGGGCCTTCAGACCGTGGCCGACCTCCGAGACCACAACGTCCCAGTAGCCACGATCCCAGACTCAGCCGTCGCCTACTCCCTCGGCAAAGTCGACATGGTCATTGTGGGAGCCGAAGGTGTCGTAGAGAACGGCGGTATTATTTCGCGCATGGGCACATATCAGTTGGGCGTACTAGCCAAGAGCAAAGGAAAGCCCTTCTACGTGGTTGCCGAGAGCCACAAGTTTGTCAGGCTATATCCCCTCAGCCAGTTTGATTTGCCCATCGAGCAGAAGGTGCTAGACTTCAAGGTCGCAGAGGAACCAAAGGAAGAACAAAAGGCGAAGAGTGACGAAGAGCAACGGAACGTCTTCGACGAAGCCATCGCAGATATGGCTGCCAAGGGGTCAACAGTCGCTCCACTCGACGCCCATGACGCTGTTGATTTCACGGTTTGTTCTGCCCGCTCTGCTTGAAATACGTTTTGCTAACATAAAACTAGCCACCTGATCTGATCTCTGGTATCATTACTGAGTCCGGCGTCCTCACCCCGTCTGCCGTTTCAGAGGAGTTGATCAAGATATGGTTTTGAGCCCTCCCTGAGCATGACCTACATCCCACACCAGAGCAACTATTCTACTGCAAGCGCACGATGGGCATATAGTCTTGTGGAAGGTACTCACATCAATCACAGGAACTTCGTAGAAGGCGAATCTGTGACTCCGCAACCTTCACGCCTACGCTGCAACCGGCGCAGCACGTCTCGAGACTGGGACATTCATGTCGCAAGGTATCGTGCGCATGAAAAGCTCACCTGAAAACGCTCGAGAATCGGCTATTTTGCCATAGAAGACTGGAATACACGAGTACGATGAAAGACAACGACCAGTTATGACGTGGTATCGCGCTGGCGATGCCGGCATATGATACCCAATAGATTTATGCAATGGCAACATTTCTTGGCCCTCCTACCTCTTCAAGGAGTTGGCCTTATTGTAACGACGCTTCTTTTGTGTGAGAATGATCAACGTGAAGTATACGATGAAGTATACGATTCCATTGACAGCGAGAGCAAACTTTTCGACAATAAATACATTGCCACACCTACAAAGCCTCCTGACTCCTTGTCTATCGTCCACAGTATACAACTCGCACAAAAGATGCCATACCTGATCCAGCCACCAGCGCACTCCATCGACACGTGCAATCAGCCTTTTACCTATACGCTTGCTGATCCTACCCCTTCCGAGCTCTCTAAAATCAAGGACCTTCAGAAGTGGGGCTGGCAAGTCTCTTTGCACTCTCAAGACGATGAAAAGTGTCTTGCCGCTACAAAGGGAATAGAAAAAGCGATAAAGAAGAAACGGCGCAGGACCCAGATGGTATACGGCGATATGATGGGCGATGGTTCAAGGCCCACTTTTGAGGAGGTTTGGGAGCAGGAATCGATTAAAAGATCAACGCAGAGACTATTTGAGACGGAGGCAAAGGAGATGGATATTAGTGATCAAGCGACCATAATGTCTCACATGACACAACAGAAAATTTGGTTGCATTGGGCTGATGAAGAAGCTGAGTGGGAAGCAGAGAAATTCAACGTAAGAAAATCCCAAGAAGAGAGCTTTTGAGAGAGTGACATAAATATACAACTGATAGGCCCAGACAGGATATCCAAGTCGTCAATGAGCATTCCCTGCTGCCGAATCCCTCCAATTTAGAAGACGATGAAACAATGGACGAGTACTTGTACCAAAGGTCTGCTGTCATTCCTGTCACAAGAAGGCAAACTAAAAGTGCATCCTATTTTGTTGAGGAAGATGAGACCAACTGGCACACTGTTGCGTCGCCGCACTCTTCTCGAAGCACTGTTTCTCAATTTCCAGCTCAGGAGACCCTACAATACTCTCTATCTTCCACGTCAAAAGCCTCTTCAGAGGAGTTAGATTTTCTCCTTCTAGATCCCCATATGCTTGCCATGGCTACATGCGGACACTGGTGTCCGCCTGCATTCCTTCATGCCTGGTCGCGTCAAAATCCTCAACCCACATCTGCTGCACCACGCACCAAACTTTCATCAAAAGACCCCAAAAAGCCTCAGAAACTCAGGAAGAAAATGGCTCGCCGTTACTCAGAACCTAGCTTGAACTACTGGCTGTCCTTCGGATTTGCCAGGCCTTTGTCCTGGGTGAAAAGAAAGCGAAATGAGAAAGCAGTGGGGAATGTAAATTTGATTGCACCGCAACAACAACAGATTGAGAGTTCGGGCGATGCCAAGAGGCCTTTAGGTACTGTTTCATTGCATAGTACGCTTCAATCCTTTCGGCTGTCACGTTCCACCGCTTCGTCTGATACTTCTCCCAGTACTCTTCAACCAACCACTTCGACTGGCAGCAATCCAAGTCCTGATTCACAACCAAACGCAGTAACTCTATACCAACCGGAACCCCGCAGTGTCTCACCAGTACCTTCTACTGCCTCGAGCCTCATCTTCCCCGGTCGTGAAATAACACAAGAAGAATACTTTCGGCGCACGAATCGACCGCAAGATAATTTACAGCCTCGTCAACTAACGCCGCCACTAGGACTAGAAGAAGAAAACGACCCCTACGAGTGGCAAGCGTGGAATCTTGGGCGCGCTCGTCAACAAAGTAAAACTGACCGTATGCTTGGACGACGTAACTTGCGTAGATCAAGTGCTGGGGATACTAGTAAGGGAAGGACTAAGAACAACTGGTATGATGAATTTCGGAAGAAGATGAAGGAGGAGCAGGTGCAAACGCAAAAGGAGCGGAAGGAAGCCAACAAAAAGAAGAAGAAAGAGTTGGGGAAGTTGGAGAAGCAGGAGAGAATAAACAGGGAGGCGGAAGCGAGGGAGATGCTGAAGAAACAAGGCATGTTTTCTGTGGGATATTTACCTAGGTATGCATAAACACGCCGCTGATGTTTTGGTATGAGTTGGGAATCCTGGATACTCAGGACGCGTTGTATCTATATCTCTCAGTAGGCCTTAATTTTAACTTAGAGAGACTGTTTTTTTTCCTGTTAAATATCTATACAAGCTCTACTACTAACGCTGTCCCAAGTCTGAAGGCAGTGCAGAGAACACTCACTAAGCCGGATAGAGTAAGTGCAGTTATCGCCTGGAGCTTACCGTGCCACAATTACATGCCAGGCAGGTACATGAACCTGACATCTAAGGATACAGTTATTCTACCGATAATTTACTAATATATCGAACTCTCGTTAATAAATAGCTGGTTCGAGATACCATGATTGAATCTCCCAAACACATGCTACGGGATCTGATCAAGACAAAGGACTGGTCAGCAGAGGAAGAAGAGGAGGAAGAAGAAGAGGAGGAAGAGGAGGAGGACAGCGAGAAGGAAGAAGTTCAGCCTAGAGATTTCTACCACCCTTGGGGTTATACAATCCACCATACATGCTACACGCCTGAGTCGCAATCGCGATGGGAATCTTTAATCAAAGCGATCCTACTAGGAGTCGAAGGAACCATCCCGGGATTGCGCAAGGATGAAACACCGCCTAGATCTCAACTGTTGCTCTCTCTCTCTTTCGCCTAGACCTTCGCTCCGACGCCTCCTTGTATGATGGTCTTACTATAGAAGGTCTATTGTGATCCACCCACAAATTGTATACCATCGCCAAACTTCGGTCGACCGGATCGTGTCTTTCTCGTCGCCGATGCAGAGGTTTTGCTGGATCCTTACTTCTTGCCACAAAAGGATATAGCATTGAAAGGTGTTCCAGACCTCGCTACAAGCGATGCTGAGGCTCCGGGAACTGCGCAAAGATGGTGTTATCGACATCACGGTTTCCAGAGATTTCCCAACACCGAGCAACAAAGATTAAGGTACTTCGGCAACACATATAAGGAATGGTCGGAAACCAAGAAGCAATGGCTGAAATGCGTAAAGGTTGATTATGTGCACGCAGAGTACGAGCAACGATCAAGACATGGTCATCTGCCTTTTCTTGGCTGGTTCATTACAACTACGGGTAGTATAGCAGAGCTGTGGGAGACGTTGGCTGCGGTAGATGTTCTGCATATTGCATCAAAGGTTGAAGGAGTAACCTGTAAGTAGATCGTGTCCTGTATTTTATACTATAAGCTAATGCCTGGATACAGGGGACGGGTACGGAAGAGGAAGTATTGGACGCTACCGGTTGTGGTGACCCTGATGCTTGTTGTACTACTTGGAAGATCGTTACTCGCCCATACGCCAGACAACACCAAAATCGAGCTTCTCCACTGAACAAACCCTCAGTTGCAGTACTGTGTTCCCTCACTTGGCTTGACAATACCCATGTCAATGAAAGCTGAGTAGTTCCAGTAATCGCCTTGGACACCCTCTCCCGCTACAGGCACGTTACCAAAAAACTTTGCAGTCCAATAAGCACTTCCTCTTGTGTACTTTGCAAAAGCATACCTAATGTTACGCGTACCAAGTTAGTGTATATCTCAAATGCAGTTCGTACAGAGATATTTCTTACAGCCCTGTGTTCAGGTTCTTCCTGCGGTTGGTAAACTTGTTATCTGCCACAGTCTCGATGGACCATTCCCCAACAAATACAGGAAACTTGCCATCCCCTGCCGATGCCTTGGCGTCTGAGCAGATATCTGCACTCACAGTATCAGAGTCTGTGGGACGCCCAGCGAAATAGTAGTTGTGTACGTCAAAGACCAGATTGGCCGAAGCTGAGAACCTGGGAGACCAGAATGCTTCACCTTTGAAGCTACCCTGCAACATAACGGGTATATTCTTGTTTACGGCCGTTACTTTCGCGACAACCGCGTCAAAATACTTCTGTGTCCACGCAACGCCGTTATCCGTCAAAGCGGCTGGTGTTCCAAATGTTGTGAAGTTGCGGTTGTCCACTGGTTCATTGATTGGCTCAAGAGTGTACGACTGTGGAGTACCGGAGGATTGGATGAAAGCCAATGCAGCATCGACAGCGCGTAGAGAGTAGTCGAAGTTCGTTACATTGTTGAACCATCCAAAGCGGCCTTCGCCTTCGCCGAAGCCCATGCCGTTTACGCCTCCGGGAAGGGAGTGAATGTCGAGGATAATATGCATACCGTGCTTTGCGATCGCATAGGAGGCAATGTTCTTGAAGAACTGAGCTTGCTTGCCACTGTAAAAGCTACTCCCGGGGACTTTGACCCAAGCGGCATACGTTGTTGGAATTCTCAAGACGTTTACGCCAGCAGTAGCTAGCTTGTCGATATCGGTGGGCGTGATGAACGTAGCATAGCGTCGCTCGAGAACAGGACCGCATTTTGATCCTAGTTGGGCACAGCAAGTCCACTCATCAGTTGTGGTGCCACAGTTCTGAGACCACCAATTTGGGTCAATGACAGCTTCTTGGGCGAGCCATCCTCCAAGATTGACACCATTGGCTTTGAACGTTTTCCAGTCGAGGTAGGCAGGTTGCTGACGCGCTGTCGGACTGGCAGTAGCGAAGGGGATGAAGGAGACAAGAGAAGTGGCAATGATGCTGAAGGCAACCATGTTTAATGGGGCAATGCTTGAGTTTTTGTGGAGTGTACGGAATCTCCTAGACATTGGATCGCTGGTCTTTATAGCTTACAGATGGTCCTCTTGTCATCTTCTCTGGTCGGGATAGCATCCAGCTGGAAGCCACAAGATCGCAACGAGGAGCATGAAGGGCAACATGTGGAGCCGGTCGACCTAGCTAGATCTAAGGGCCAAGCTGATGGTATGAGTAGGTTTGCAAATGTTCAGGACCCCTTCAAGACATGGTCCCGTGAACGGCTGCACAGCTAATAGTACTTCGACCCCAGACTTGACCCCAGACTTGACCCCAGACTTGGCGTCATATAGTAGGTACATCATAGTAGCTTCGGCATCCTGGAAAGTTACCCCGAATCAAGATTTTGAACCTACCGTTGTCCATATAGGGTTCATATTACCCCGAACTACCTGGTACTCCACATCGGGTAGCATGGACGCTAAGTGGCCCACATCCCGATATGAGTGTTGTGCCGTTCGACTAACCACAACCTCTTCAATTGTTTCTCGCTTAATTAACACTCGAAGATACGGTCAGAGATCGACTTAGGGAATCTGGTGCCCAGAAGAATCTCAGATGCTGTCGGAAACGCCAGTATGCGCAAGAAAAGCAACGAAACAACTCCATGGTTATGATCGAAGACAGTGTCGTATTATGCTCGCCGTCAGCTCTACGTTATCAAGAAGTGAGCAAGATGGTGGGTGAAAGTTTGTTCATGATGACGAATATATGCTTGCGGGTCGTCCATGCGTTACCGGAGTTTCTCAACCAACCTTCACATCCCAATCCACTTCACTAACACAATCCAGTGTTGTCTCCATCTTCAATCTGCCTTGAAAATACTGGATGTACCTACACTGATCTCGGTAATTGCATGCACAGCCTGAAGCCGCCGCCGCCGCCTTCCTTGCCAAACCCGGCCGTATCAATTCGCACAGCGAGTTCAAGCACCACCATGTTTGCGCGGATCCTTAAGTAGTTGCATGCTGAAATCAACCCGTGCAACAGGATACTCTTTTCGCGACTCTTGATGGTATTTATTTGCCGAGCTACCATGCCTACACAAACTTCTTAGGCTCGTGGACCTGGCATGATCTACCACAAACCGCTCATCAGTACCTGGCCTAGCTTCAGTTTATACCTATAGCAGCTATGGGAAACCAAGCTTCGTCCGCATACGGTACCCCCATAGTCGCAAATCCACACCGATGCCATTGACCGGACAGATCGGCAAGAAGATGCACTGCGGCTCGCACCAAGACTACAGGGGATCATCGTCACGACGGTCGCGGTGTCATCGATGCCTTGCTCAATTCACCATCTACTCCAAAATATCGATTCGTGACGTGGCTGTCCCAGATCGGAGAAGGGTTACTGGAAGGACCCAACCCTATAAGCTTGGACTTGCATTAGTACACTCACCAGCTTTCCCTCCGATTATGCCGCTATTATACCTGCAGATACGAGAAAGATACAACAAGCAATGCAGGGTGAGGTGTTTGGTGTCTACCAGAAGATGAGGAGTCTTTAGAAAAGGAAAGAAGGTACATGGACTGGCATAGTGATCATGCCAGCAAGGTCCGCAGCAACGTATGAGTTGGGGTATGAGATCGAGCTTACGGCTGAAGAAGATGCCACTCATAGAGAACACCGTCCAGCGGAAAGATGACTGGAGTAGTAATCCCTTTAGCTAGTTGTGCAGGAAAGTGTTGTTGGCCTGCAGCGGAGCTTGGCTCCCTCTGGAGAGCCATCGTAGGCTACAACACCTACTGCTTTGTTCTGGTCATCATGGTACATAGCGATCATGAGACAGGTTGCATGCATAAAAAGAATAACGATTGTGCAAGATACGAAACATCACCCTCTTGTTGCTTTTGTCACGACGTAGTCAATGCATAGTCAGTGCATGCAGCATGCAATCACACCGCATATCGCAATCACAACTCACATTCTCACGCAGCATGGACACGGTCAAGTGATCAAAAGTACCACAAATAATTAGATAGTAGACATTAAGTAACCAAAACTACCTATGATAACCGATTGATTCGTCCCATCTCAAGTACTGAATCGCAAACCCCACACCCCGCCAAGCCAACGCGTGCTTCCCTGCCCAATCCATCTCCGATCGGCACTCCCCCAAGCTTCCTTCGACTCCAACCAAGCCAAAGATCCTCTCCTTGTTTGCAAGTATTCCCCACACGCCAACTCCACGCAATATAAAAGTTTTCTCCGGTGGCATTATGGGGTCCAACGGATCGACTGTCGTCATTTCGGAAGAAAATGTCGTGATTGCAGTGAGGGTATGGGGACGATGATGTCAGTCCTCCGTGTTTTTGACTCGTGGGTATTGATCGAGGCTGCGACTAGGCTGCTTGGCAATGTCCGCTGCTGGTTCCGCCTTGCTTGCCTGCAGACCAGAGCAAGGCTTGCCGTCATTGTATCGTCTCCGTGCGTCGTCTTGGTATGAGCTTATCACTCGTCGGTGTCGTCGACGCTCTCGACGCTCGGTGAAGGGGATGATTCACGAACGTATCTTGACGAGAGCGTTGGGCTGGCAATGGGCTGTTGTGAGATGGAGATCTGGCCCTCGGCTTCGATGTCTTCGATGGGGATCCTGAGCATTTGGCCGCCAACCAGGTTGGGGACGTAGACGAATTGAGTAGCGGGTGAAGACATTTTTGTTGATAGGATAGGTTGTGTTTGAGATTGGTATGATAGTGGTAGTAGTAGTGTAGACTGATGATGAGGTACTTGAAGTCTGATACAGGAAATGTGCGATGTTGGGTCTTCACCTTCATGTGGGGATACGGCTCAGCTATATACTGTGCCAGTATCCCACGGCTCACCTGAGAATGCCATTGCTCATGCGGCATCCCAAACCCCAGCTCCACGCATGCATCCACCAGACTACCAACCCAAAACCCTATCCCCGACAATCCAAGCATCGCATGCTCCACCCGTCACTCCCGCAGCCAATTATAGCACGCTACCAAACAAGGGTGCCTTAACGCCAGCTCCGCCGTGTCAGCCCAACGCGCTGATTCGGCCCAGGACCTGCACAACGCGTGGCAAGTCTCCCCGAACAGCTTACTGTGCCGCTTGGTTGTGTCCGACGAGCGGCGATAAGTGGTTCATGCGTGCGTAGACAAGGCAGCCCCGCACCAATTTCCTCTCCGCCAGCCGGCCAAGCAGCGCTTAAACGGTGCGATTTACACGTTAGCCCGGCCAAGTCGCCCTGTCCGCAGGGTCTAGACCATATGTTTGTTATCGTGGTGTAATTCTAGGCGAGGGATGATGCAAGGTGTTGAGTTGGAGGGTGATAAGGAATTATTGCGAGGGAGACTGGGTTTCGGAAGATCGGCGTTTACAGAATCGCGATTATTCACTTTTTAGAGTTTTGACTTTATGTCTGGCCGTTGCCTAAGATCACGTTCGGGGCCATGCATTGTGCCGACCGCGAATATTGGCCGAGTGCTTCTTCGACAGTCACCTGCTGCACTCTACAAACACTGTGCAACTGCGGACGAGCATTTTCGTCCTCCTTGCAGTTCACGATGACGGTTAGAAAACTCCTTGTCACGGCTCGGCTGGGCAATGCTAGGCGCCTAGCTTCCGAGAATGCTGCCGAGAGCTTCTGTACGGTTCTGTATCGTTCTGTTGAACCGTGGCACTCGGCTAGTAAACGAGCAGCTATACGGTTTGCCCCTGGGCTGAAACTACCATCGTTAGACAGAATAGCTCATGGTGACCAGCGTGCACCAACGAACGTGTGTGACGATCAAGTAGAATAGGATTGCACCATACCTAGCTGTACGCGTCGCGACTCCGCAACATCCGCGTGACAGTACGATTGCTTGGTAATCTACTGTTCAGACATTTCTTCAGTGGAGAAGGATTACATGCTGTCGCAGGCAGAACAAGGGCGGGAACTCTTGGATCCAAGCAATTCCGCTCGACGCCAACTGTTCGATACGAGGTCATGTGGCAGGTGCACCAAGCCTAATCAACAACGCCAGGGCGCGCCAACGCACCCCAGATCACGAATGGCCTCGGAAACCCAATGTCGACGGTCCACATGGTCAGCCTCGTACAGACCGTAGCCTATACGCCATCATAAAGCGAACCTTTTAATAGTCAAGCTTACACGAACCAATACCAATGACAGTCGGGTCACTATTCCTATAGAATTGCTCGAAATTGAACAGGGTATCATGCTAGTATTACAACGCTTTCGTAACCTTACGCCTCGCTCGATAAACAACAATCCCTTCAACGCGGGACACTATGGCCTGATCTTGCCAGCTTCAGGGTTGTCCCTGTTGCCCTGCCAACCCCAGGCTAATCTGGACATGGTCTTGTCTTCGTCCTTTCCAGGCCACAAGACCTGTCCGAGGTATACGGCACGAATGCAAAAGACTGCCGTGACGAACCACATGATGACCAGTAGAACGGTCAAAGCGCTCGCAACACCGTTAATAGCTTCACTGTGTAGTACTTTCCCTACTTGTATCGTTGCAAGCGTAAGTCCTGCGTTGGGAAAAATGAACGCCCACCAGTTCAGCGAGAAGGACATTCTACGCATTCCCACTATGACAGCGATGGTTGTTATGATGAAAAACCAGTATGCGAACAATATGATGAAAAGGCCTGCCATAATGCCTATGATGCGTACAATCTCGCCGTCTGGGACTACAGTGTTCGTAAAGTAGTTTGCGGCGATAAGCGACGGTGCTTGGTTCGCGAGGGAGATGAGACCAGCGGCGGTGTAACCTATCGTTGTCAATACCTCTGTGATAAGAAAAGATGCAGAGTATGGACTTACCAGCTGGACCAACAGATACGTACATCCCAGGTCGGGTAGTGGGAGACGGCAAAGAACTGGTCATCAGGCGCTGCATGTATAGCGCATACAGCAGGAAAGAAACAACCCATGCGAGTCCTTGAAAATGTATAGCTCCGACGAATATCTTCCAACTGGGCGTCTCAGGTTGGGATGGAAGTATAGTACCAGCCAGGGTGCCCACGACAAGCAAAGGGTATATTGGGAAAATCCAAGCAGGCACAGCGTCGCCAACGTTGAGGCGTTCGAGACGGAAGAAGAGCGAATACTGGATGACACCGACGAGGAAAGCAGCGGCGCAGTACATCCAGTACAAAATTTCGAGAGTTTTCGTGAGCCATGCCCCAGTCGACGTGTTGCCATAAATGTAAATGCAGTTGAGTATGAGGGCGACTGACACCCAGTACGTGCCGAAGAACAGACCCTCAACTGGGTGGTGTAACGATCCGAGTAGCTTGCGAGGGACAAGGAGGAACCGCGCGAACATGCAGATGTTGAATATGATGAAGAGTACGAGGTCGAAGATGAAGACCACCTTGCCGATGGTTTCCAGGCCGGTAAACCTGTTTGGGGTGTTCCCAAGGACTACAGCCAATGATCCTGTTGACATCGTACATGCGAACCATGGCCTGTGGTATCGTGAGCTCGTTATTCGAATGTCCTCGGCGCGTGTACGTACCATGTGAAATGCACGATGCGATCGCGCAACCCAACTTCTTGCGGTGGCTTCTCCTCATCTTTCTCGTACGTGGTATTAGTTCTGTCGCGGAATCGCATTTTGGTGATAAGTATGAAGCACGCGACCAGGTGTTGAGCAGCCCTGAGCCATGCTTAGGTAGTATTTACAGGTTCCCAGCCATGACACCTTCTTCTCAAGCATCCCGGAAAGAGTGCCGGACGCGTTTCGTCATACGGGCCCATAGCGTACTTGTTCTAGAGTTAGTGGCGATCTTGGTGTCTACGCGCCAAATGAGAGGAACGACGGGCAGCCCCGTAGTTGAGTCTCGGAAATCGGCACGCAAGCGTCTAGCAAAAAATGTGAGAATTAAGGCTTGGCGCACTGACAGCTGTGACGTCAGAGGCCATATGACCGACCGTAAGGCATCGAGCTGAACACATGCACCTCAGAAGGGGAAGAATTCAACAATCTTGGATGGTGGTTGATGTGTAACCATCTGATTCTTCGCTGTTAGTGGGTGTGTGTAGGCCAGCTATTACCCGCTTCACTGAGAATACAAGTAAGCACAGGTAGGCACCCCCGCCCCATGCAAGGGAAGACTTTACACTCTTAGCGACCTCTGTCTTTCGACTCACAGCATTACAACAGCGCCATGTATTTAGGTTCACCGTATACCAGGATACGTTTTCTCTATTCTCAGTGCTTCCTTTAATCTCTCCATTCTTCATCCTATCTCCCTGTATTGTGGGAAAATTTAGCATGATGGCAGATGTGCTATCGCTATACCCTGTTGAAGTGGAGAACCAAATATCTTATTGGCGAGACGTAGATGTCACCCATGCTGCAGATGCAGCGTGACACGAAACGCACCTGGAGCGGCGCGGCACAGTTGCCAGTTTGTCTCAATCTCAACCACTCTGTGCACATATCTCCATGACCAGTTCCTGTCATGAAAATTGCAGGTGGTTGCTCGTGTTACCATGGAACCTCCAAAACTGCCACCGCTTGCCAGGCCTGTTCCATGGACCTATGATCCCACCTTCGTACCAGTCAGCGCCAGAGAGCGAGAGTCCTTCGATTTGACTGCCGAGACCACATTCAATGTTCTGTGCCAGTGGTGTGAGAACTTACTTCGCAAAAGTCCTAAGCTACCAGAGATTCCGCTCTTCACAGAGGACAGTTCCACTATCCCTATTGAAGGACAGCTCGAGATCGACGAGAGTCTTCTGCGCGACTCCGCCTTGGGTGGTTGTTATCTATGTACTCTGGTCTTGAGAGAAACACAGCGCTCTTATGGAGCGACAGAGAAAACACCTCCTTTTCGGAGCGTCGCTCCATATGTTGTGTGGTCAAGGTTAGTAGCCCCTGTGAATTCAGGTATTGCTGGGGATATGGACGAGGGGTTCGAAGACGATTACACCTATGGTTCAACTCATGGGGTCACATTGGCCACTCGCCATGAGGGTGGGAACTTTTACTCCACGTTCTTGATACGACACCCGCGCACTTCTGAGCCTCCATCTGCCTTTTGTCGAAGCATCTATACGGGTTCGGATGAATGTCTGGAACGCTGCAGAGTATGGCTACAAGACTGTTTGGAATCCCATTCAGGATGCCATCATAGCTTACCGTCTAAAGTCCCGACGCGTCTGATTGAGATCATGAACCCTCGCGAGATCAGACTCGTAGAACCGACGAATACGGTGCAATATTTCGTATTAAGCTATTGCTGGGGTGGTTCAGACGTCTTGAAGTCCACAACCGAATCTCTTGAGGCATTCAAATCCTCGATACCATTCGATCAATTAGCACTCACAATCCAAGATGCTATCGGAGTAGCCTATAGGCTTGGATCCCGTTTCCTGTGGGTTGATAGCCTCTGCATATTACAAGACGATGCTCAAGATTGGCAACGAGAAGCAAAAGGCATGTGCGACGTCTATCGTAACGCCGCATTGACCATTGCAGCACTGGGGGCAGCACGCGCTACAGACGGATTGTTTGCGCGGCGTGATCCGTTGGTCTTCCAAGGATGTCAGTTTTACCGAACATGGAATCAGACTCCCGACCGTAGTCACCATTCCCCAAGTGTCGTAAATCAGTATGCTTGCTTCAGCAGCAGCACTTTGAATTCGCGCGGCTGGACCTTCCAAGAACGGGCTCTGTCACGACGTACCTTGTATTTTGGATCCAGTATATTTTGGGAGTGTAATTCCAAATTTGAGACAGAAGGTAAATTGAACTACGGTGGCTTAGAAGCTCACTTCAAGGCCCTTGTATTCCCGGCGGTAAAGGGGAGCCCAGTGTTGCAAGAACCTCATCAAGACGATACGCTTGAGACGACAGCATCAAAGACACTTCAAGCTTGGTCGGCTCTGAAAAAGTGGGACAAGATACTCCTCGATTATACACTTCGGAATCTTACCTACCCCAGCGACAGGCTCCCTGCAATAGCAGGTCTCATCGCTCACTATTCACAACTTATGAACTGGACGAATAACTGGGGACTATGGAAGGACCATTTGACTATCGAGTTACTGTGGAAAGTCTTGTCCGATACGCGTGGTCCACATCGCAATACGGCATGGCCGACCTGGTCGTGGATTAGCATACAAAGCCAGGTTTCACTAGGTGGTAGATTCGAGGGCTTCCTTGCCGAAGCACGCTTTGATGAACTTGATGACTCCGCTGTCATCCTCCATGGTGTTCCACTCGAAATATCAGAGCTCGACCCACAGACCTACAATCCATTAGAGGCAGACACGCGGAATAGGAAGGAAAGTCTGAACAGTGTTGAATGGGACACCACTGATATGAATTTCGCTGACCGTCCCTTCGGCGTACCTTTGACGTGGGCATACCTTCGAGAATATGCTCAGCCAAACAGTGACAGAGTCATTCTGCACGGCCTTTGTTTGGTTGCGGATGGTTCCACAGGTTCATATCGACGTTGTGGAATCATCAATTTCGTCACAAACAAAACTACTGCTCGCCAATACGACATCCGCTTTCACTCAAAACAGGTATTTCGCATCGTCTAAATCAGACATGTGAACAACAACCTGTATTGGAACTATGATTGCATTAATCACATCTGTCTGGCGACTTTCCCTGCATGGCAACGATCCCTTGCCCCAAGCTTACCGAGGAAAAAATCAAAACGCAGGGCCACCCACGATGCTCGCCACCGACTCGCGCCCGGCAAAGCGGGACGGACAACGGTTCCTACTAGACTCTCGATTCCGAAGCCATGGTAGAACCGGAAGCCTGAAAAGCTTAGCATCCTATTCTTTTGATGATTCTATATGCAAACTTGCGGCATAGCCCCTCATTCTAACCTGCAATGCTAAGCAATTCTCACATATGCAACAACTGTAGTGACTGAAAAGTTTCAAGCATATATTTGCTTCCTAGAGATTTGAAATCTAGATACCGGGTACAATATGTACTTCTTTGACGCAATGTAAAACCGTGTATATACACTCCTAGGCGCCGTCATCGCGCCTGTCCTATCCTGTTCCAAACAAAAAAGAAGACGAAAGTGAGAAATTCTCCTGTGTCGCATGTCATTAATGGTTCCCAATCCTGACCTATAAATCCAATTCCGAATGAAGCAATGAGGCGGAAAAATCCTGACCATGAGTGATGCGGATGAAAAGCCTTCTATCGCAGAAAGAACGCCGTCATAATGCATATGCAATTCCATGATGCTTGTGTTGTTTGACAAAGGAAAATGTGTTTCGCTACACCTGCCATTACGCGGTGATAAACGCCGCCATCATAGCCAACACACCACTCAAGATGGCATAGTTGGCACCACCGATCGGGGTCGAAGCGGCATTACTCTTCTTCGACTGTGTGCCGTCTGGCTTGAGGACGGCGGTAGTGCCTAGTTGGAAGCCAATGTTGGCTACCACAGCTTGGCTGTCCCGGACAGGGACAGAGATTCTACCGTTGCCATCGGCTGTGGTAGTTGTGACTGTGTTCTCAGCAACGGATGACGCGCCAGTGGTGTCGTCGTAGCTCATGCCGTTCCATGTGACACCTGTCTGTGAGTCTGCGCCGGGAGCTGTAAGGTAAGAGACGTATACTTCTTTATTGGCGTTTGCAGAGCCGAGGTTGAGGTTGAAGGTGAAGCTGCCCTTGTCCGATGAAGAGGCATTCACTTGCTTTGCGTTGATCATGGTGACAGCTTGAAGCTTGTCGTTTGCGTAGGCTGCGTATGCACGGATGCGACCGTCGTACGCGGCACCTACGTTGCTTGTAGAAAGAGCAGCAATCTGTGTGGTTCCGTTGCCGTTGCCAACAATCTGCGCGACGGCAGCATGGGCATAGTACTGTGGTCGTACGAATGTGTTCTGACGACCATAGATAGGGATAGGTGCCCAGGCACTGGCATTGGAGTTATCGGTCATGTGCATCTGGACCGAGGAGATGCCGATGGATGCTGCATAGAGGAAGAAGTTGAGGGTCCAGAGAGAAGCACCAAAAGCGTCACTCACACCGGGCATGCCTATGGGACCAACGGAGCTCATCTCACGCAAGACGTAGGGGTGCTTTGTGTTGAGGGCAATTCCGACCTGCTTCTCCCAGTATTTGAATTGTGTGTTAGTAGCATCGAGATCCATGAGATCGTCGAGGGTGAGGGGTGTTGGGGTAACTCCGATGACTACTTGATGTTAGTACGGTACAGAGAGCGGACTCGTCGAGATATAGCATACAGTAGAAGTAGTCGTGCTGGTTCCAGGTGGCCAGGAAGTTATCACCGTTCCTGCCCTCCATAATGCCATCGTCCACGAGCTGCGCAATCTCAAACGTGGTTCCGATGGTGGAGGCGGTCGCAGGAGACTCGAAGAAGGAAGACGGTAGGCCAGCAGCCTTGAGCACGCGCTCGTAGACGACCTCGCAGCGGTCTAACCATTGGCTTGTGTATGTCTGTCCATCCCAAGGCGCAGAGCGGAAAGAGTTCTGTAGCCACAAATCGGGCTCGTTGCCAACCTCAAACGAGTATAGTTTGACGTTGTTCATGCCATCGACGGCGGCCTGGGCCAATGCAGCAATCTTGTCTTGGTAGTCGTCGTCCATGTATGCCATGTTCAGTCCGAAAGTCACGGGAGTGTCCTTGGGGAAGCGGTCGAGCGCTTTGAAGTAGTTGGGTCCAATGATCATAGAATCAGCGGCAATGGCGCCCTGTGCCGTCGAGTCTTCGTTTGAAATCCAGGCATATTTTTCGTTGCTCGACTCAAACACCATGTAGTCCTGCGTGTTTCCTCCTAACCGGATATGCGGCGGCGCGCCCGAGTAATCTGCGAGATTTTGTAGCAGCTTGACGGAGAATTGGTTCGTTTCCTCCTTGCCAGTAAAGGAAAAGAGGTTCGAGGGCTCAATGCCGAAGCCAGCATACGAGGGGTCGAGGTAGTCGGAGGCGCCATCGGGCGGGCTGTTCCCTAGCGATATGGAGATGGACTGGGCGAGGGCAAGGCGCACGGCGGGTAACGACAGTATGGCTAGACTGCTGGCGGATAACGAGGGGAACATGGCTGCTGATAGGAGCCGTCCGGATGCAAGCGAGTGCAGACTGTCGAAGAAGAAAACAAGAACAGCGGAAAGTAAAGTCAAGACTAGCAATCAGTAAAAGCGAGCGCAGGGGAGGTTATCACAGGAAACGGAGAGCGAGGGACACGCAGCCAGGGTCGATGATGAATGGACGCTTGCAGGACGACCGGGGTTAAAGGAAGTGTCAACACTTTCAGACATGCGTCACTAAATGGGCCAAAAGTGGCGCCGGTCCGGGCGATGCCAGAGACGACGCGCCAGACTCAACAGCACATGACATCACGAGCCGCCATGCTTCCGGACGCTGCGACACCAAGCAAACCGGTCTGAGACGCGCGACCTCTGACAGCAGGTGGGCCGCTGAATATCACATCCCACACTGCTGCCCTCACCCATCCAGCAGCGTTGCGCGTTGCACTGGAAAAAAGAGGATAAACGCGTCAGCTACTGCCGACAACACTCCGTGTTCCAATTATGGTGGCTGCCTCAGATCTGCACCCACGCCAATCTGAGCGGCTACCGAACCCTTAGCCACAATGATCCGCGGCAGGAGGCTCAATAAGCCTTGTTTCGCCATGGCCCCGAATCCGCATCATCGTCCGTTCCTCGATCCTGTGCCGTCTTACCCTCGCACCAGGCCTCGTCATGGGCCCTTGAGCGCCGTGGATCTTCGCGGCTCCCTGACCACCGTGGAGCGCGCGGTACGCCTCCTACGCACCGAGGGCCCTGACGCACAGCGTCTGGATAATCGCAATTCAATATTCTCTCCCGCGCGCCCGTCCTGCCTACACTACCTAACCCCTGCTCCCGTTCGCTGCGTCCACATTGGCCCGTTGACAAGACCGCATGCAGGCTACTGGGAGCTTGATTTATTGCCCAGCCTCTTCCAGCTCTCCACCCCAGCCCCTTCGTAACAGCCGTAGCTGCTTTCACTCCCGCCTACCTTTTGATGATGCAAAGGGGAAAACTTTCTCGACAGCACGTTTGCTAGCCTCAAAGTTTGACGTGACTAGCAGCGCCTGCCATCATCTAGCTTTCTGAACCTATAATAGCACCAGGTCTCGAACACGACCACCGGGCATTCTCGTCCGCCCTTGTCCACGATGCCTTGGCTGCCGTCTGATGCCGAAACCCTGACTTCAAACAAGAGCTGAAGAACCCGAGTGCATACTCGGTGTACATCTTGCAGGAGGCAAAACGGATGTCGCGGCCTCTGTAAAGGTAAACTTACACCATTACGGTACATGTACAACACATGATGCTCAGAGAGGCGTCGCTTGCAAAGACACGGCCAAAACTCCCCGTGTTGGGCACTATCTGATCCGCCATTTGCCTACTACTAAAATACAGCTCTTACTACCGCATGACTATGATGCGCATCTGATGCAGCAAAATCGAGCTACGTCCATCTGATCAAGAAACTTGCTTGTAGAGAATTTTGTCGAACATGTCAATGCCGTAGTTCCGACATGGCATTGATTGTATGACGTATAGCTTGGTGGAGAGCACCGACAGAGGAAAGTATATCGTGGGCCAATCCAATGCAGGGAAAGCATGCTATACAGACGTCGTATTGCTCCTTGTCCGCGGATGGGTATACGTTTTTGCTTATTGTGATCTGCTGTAGAACCAGCTCGTAATCCTCTAATGGAGGTAGTATCATTACGAGCGACATTTTTCCCGAATTCGATCTTACAGCGCGGCAGTGTTCAACTCTGGACGCACACCTTCTCACCCCACTCACAGCTTCTACCTCTTACAACTTGCCCATCATCAAGTTCCCAATCATCTCCCGTCCAGTGACCACAGTGGTCCTCCAGAGTGTCGGGAAGTCCAATGTACTCGAGAACGCTACGATTCTGTTAGCCATGTACTCTCCAAGTACTGCCTTCATCTCTAGAACATAACAGGATAGAAAGAGGGTAAAAGAGTCAACAAACTTACTGTCGGCGTACCCAAACCCAAGCATAGGCGGAATCCATCCCCTCGCATACTCCAACGCAAAGCACCCACTGTCCATCTTATACTGCTTAACATCGCCCCTAGTAAGATGATGCACACTTCCCTGAGGGTACACCTCGGCCTCGTAAATGCCCCTTCCAGGTCGGTACGCCAGCTGCTCGCCCTTCAAGATGTGAAAGTAGTCATCTGCCGTATGCCGACCCGTATGACCCTCGGTTCCAATCGCTGTTCCAAAGACAATCAGATACTCAGTAATAGACGCGTGGATAATGTACATGGCGCCCATGGCACCACCCGCATTGTTAAAGATCCATTCTTCGTCCAGGTTGATGTGGGGACCGTGGGTTGCAGAGAGGGTAGATACAATGTGGGACACGACAGAAGCCGTGTCGTTTCCGTGGAGGGAAATGGCTTCCTGACTGAGACTGTGAAGTTCAGAAGGAGTGAAGATGTAGAACTTCTCAAGGTGCGAGTCCAGGCTGTACATGAGTGTTGTTAGGACGCCGAGGATGGCGCCGAGCGCGAGGAGAATACGCATCTTGGCTTGGTGCTGCCTCCGGTAAGGAATGTATAAGGTGAGAAAGAAGCCGACCGGATTCGATTATAAACTCTTTGCGAAGGAGTGTAATGTTTGTTTTTTGTTTCCGTTGCGCTGCACTTTATGAGGATCGTGAGGATTTTCTTCATTATCAGAACGCACGTGCCAGCCGGAATAGGAGAAGTCCGGGACCCCGGATCGTCAGCTCATGTGGAAGATGGCCTGTTGTCTGCTATGAGGATACCCGTGTTCCGGGTGGAAAGGAGCAATCTTGGCCCATCTAATAAGCGGTGGTTATACTGTGCAGTCAGTTGCGTATGTTAGTCATCTCCTTTGCAGACAGGAAGAAAAGATTGAAGATAAATGGGTATAAATTTTACAAATCAAAGCTGCCTACAACATTGAGAGTATTACCTCCTCTTCCATCCCCACCATTACTCTTGGGTTAATATTTGAAAAATGCGATATATGTTATCCCCGAGTCAGAATCTTTTCCCGTCCCTGACAACGCCATAAACCATGCAGAACGTCGTAAAAATCATGCTAGACGCGATTACACACGAACAATATGTCCAAACACCATATGCACATTAAAAAGTGTTGTCCCTGTAGATATCACCAGCCTCCGATGAAGGTAATGAAGCCATCCACCATGTTAATCCAATCCTGGCCGTTCAGTGTTCCCGCTTTTCGCTTCGCCCAGAGCACCTCCACCATCTTGCCCAGGTGAGCTCTTGCTTGCTCACCTGCCTCTCTCGTGCCGTCATTCCGCACTAGCTGCACCCTGCCACCAGCGAACTTTTCACTAAGATCGATCTTGAAACTGGCGTCACCGTCCGGTGGGCAGTACAGTTCCTCTCGTGTCGTCGCTGGCCCAATAACGCCCGGAGCAAGCTGCACAAGGTGTCCATGGATCAACACACTCTGTGTATGATTCCTCCTGGGCTTGAACAGCGAGCCGCGTACCGAGAAGCTAACCAGTCTTAGCAGTCCTGCGCCGTCCCCCAGGCGGATGATCCAGTCTTGAAAGGCCTCGTACATCATCTTGAACTCGACTTTGATGACCCACAGGTTATAGCTGTAGAAGATGGCGAGAGCTTCGGAGCGGACGAGGCGGGATACTGAAGCGAGTGCGTGCTGCATCTGGCCGTCAAAGGTAGAGATGCAGTATACGAGGGGTTTATCAATGACGAGGTTCTCACAATTGCGGTAGATCTGATGGCGGATCTCTGGTGGCAGTGTAACGAAGGTGGGTGGGGCGGACGTCATGGTCATGTCATTGGTAGGGAGTGTATCGATATCATGGACTGATGTGGCCTGGATATCTTCCATATGGATAATCTCTGCCTTTTCTTGGTGCAGGGCAATGTGTGCGGCCCAATCCTTCTGCACGTCGTTGGACCCATCGAGCTGGATGCGGTCGAGGCTGTGGTTTCTAGAATGGGACGGGGAAAGCGCGTAGTCGTCCATGTGCTCATCGTCGTCAGGTCTTTCCTCTGCATACAGCTGCAGACCTTCCAAACGCGTGGCATCGGGCAGAGTCGATACGCCGTACTGTTGCGAGTGCTCGGGTGTTGACGGAAACGAAGTGGCCTGGCTCTCGAAGCCGTGGCAGTCGCTGTGCTCGCTCCCATCTCCCAGCAAGTCGGCGTCGTCCGAGTCGGTGTCTGTATCGGAGCCTATGTCTATGTCCACGTTGAGTCTGTATCTCGGGATCTTGGGCGGCAGCTGGTGCGTGGGCGAGCTGGGCGAAGGTAGCTGGGTGGCAGATCGTTTGCTCGAAGTGCGTACAATGGTACCCTTTTGGGACATGTTCCGTCCTCTCCGCTGGCTGGCGGCGCTATCCTCGCTGCTCGTGCTCAGCTCGGGCGCGCCGTCACAGTAGCCGCACGGCGTTGTTTGCACACTAGTATCAAGAGGTTGGAGTTTTGGAGAGCGCGCTTTCATGGCTTCAGCATCGTCCGGGGGCGTCTGGCCCGTGACCGAGTATCTGCGCTGGGTGACCATTGTGAGTAGGGTTGAGGTGAGGCAGCGAGGGTGCGGAGTCAAGATTGGGGGAGCGAGAGCGAGAGGGCGCGTGGTGTGGTGTTACGTGGAGTCGGTCGAGTGGCAGGCTCCAGCAAAAAACCTTCCTTCTGCGCAGATGTGCTGGCAGGCTGCACGATGACCTTTTGCAGGCCCTCGACGCGCGCAATGGGCGAGGCTTGCGGGGTGCGTTAGGTAGCGCTGCGGATGCGGCCGAGTGGACTGAGAAGCGGATTCGCGAGTGGGGAGACACCACTTTTTTATCGATTACGCCGCCGGGAAAGATGAAGCTAGAGAACAATCACTGAAAACACTCGCGCAGACAGTCACGCAGCCTCGACGGTGTGGGCGAAGGGGTAGAGGTATACACTCGGCACAAACGGATCAGGAGGGAGATGAAGGGCGTAGCATGTTTGGCAACTGGGCAACAATGCCGCGTTTCATGACACCGCAATTT